ACCCCACGCGGCTGCCGGCCGTCCGCGGCTCCCGGCTTCTCCAAAGGATGGGGTCTGGAAGTTTCCTTGGCTTCTCGCACGCCCTCCCCCCGCCGATCGCAGTCGTAGTTCTTTCAGCCATCCCGTCCCACCCCCCATCTTTTGCTCTCGCTTACTCTAAATGGATTAAAAGTTTTTTCTTTTCCTTGTCCTGAAGGGGCATCGTCGTGGTGCCCATGAGGGGCAGCCTGGGGACCCGGAGCGTAGGCCGAGCCCTCCGGGGAGCAGGAGCCTGTTGTTCTGCGCTGCTGGGGCCGTGCCCCGGGACGGACGCCCCCTCCACCGTTACGCACCAGGCTTTGCCGGGTGAGGGGCGGGGAGAAGCGTTCCCAGACTGGCGTCTGTCGCCTTGGCAACCGGGGACCCCCAGGCGAACCGCTAATTGGTACCCGTTTCCCGCATCCCCCCGTGGTGCCCGCGACCTTTCATCCGCTGCTCCGTTGGTGGGAGCATTTTGCTCTCGCCTCCCCCTCAATCCTCTCCGCGCCGCTGGGCGCCTTTGTCTGCGATTTCGCAGCCCGGGGATGCCGGATGTTCCTGGGGAAGAGACGTTTGGGAGACGCTCTGCGTCTTGTGAGCCGTGCGTGTGTCTGGGGTGGTGATGGTGCAAATTTTTGCTTGCATTCTTTTCAGAGGCACAAAGGCCGGCCTATTCTTCCCTGCGATCACATGGAAATTCTAGCCGAAACTGCAGAGTGGGGGTGGCGGGAGAGAAGTGGCGGCCGCTGTGTCGCAGCTGGGAGCGAGTAGGGGATGGCGGGGCGTCTCTATCCCACCCCGAGGATGGGGCTGTGGAGGTTGCTCTGCTGTGGGAGACCCGGCAATGGGTGCTGAGAGCTTTGGTGCGGCGGGGGGTGCGGGTGGAGGGGTAGTGTTTCCTCGGCGGCATCAGATAAGGGGACCAGCCTAGAAGGAAAACCCGTCCATGTTCTTTTGACGTCAGGAGGGGAAGACGCTGTAAAGTGACCAGACCTTGTCTCACCCTGCCCTGGTGGACGGCTGTAGTGTAAACAACACCTTTGTGTTCTGTAGACATTCCTCATTTGGGTTACCTTTTATAGCATAAGTAACACCCAATCTGAAAATTAAGGAGGAGGTGATGGTTCGGGGCTTGGGAGTTGTTTTTTTTTTTTTTTTTTTTTTTTTTTTTTTTTTTTTTTGCATGTTGAATTTGGTTATAGATGATTACGACGAACTTTTTATAAGGGTAGAAGAATCATCTAAATTTGTAAGATATATGTTTTAGCGCCTGATAGAATTTCAGTAAAAAATTGCACTTAAAAACTTAATAAAACTTGAAGTTCCTTGTCTTGAACTTTTAATACAATACGTAGCTGTGCCCTTGCGTGTTACTTAGGCAAAGCTAGTTTCTGGGACCCCTTGGCTCTTCTCCACTCCACTTCCCTACCTCATCTGCGAAAATAAAGATTATTCTCAACATAATACTAATAGATTGTATGTGTACCGTATGTTCCTTTTCTTTCCTTGGATCCTTTTTCTATTTCTTTTTTTATTTCCCTTCTCTTATTTCTGGTTTTCTTTCTCCCTTAACCCCCCCTCCTCTATTTTCCCCCCCTCAACCTGATGGTTGTGGCTTGGGAAGGAAGAGATGTTTAGTCAGTTTTAATGTGCTTCAAATTCCTATAGCATAGACATTGCCCCGTTTGGTCTTAAAGACGTCTTTACATTTCAGATGCCTTTTAAATGCACATAACCATGAGGAAGTAGAGGCTGTCCCCAGAGTTTACTAGTCTCTGCAAGTTGGAGGTGTTTGGAGAGATTCTTGGAAATCATTGAAATGTAATTTTACATTGATTCAGGCGAGTTGAGCACTTTGAATATTTAACTGCTGGGATGGAGAAACTCTGCTGTACAAATGAGCAAAACGTGGACCCATTGTCTAGAATTAGGATTAAGGGATTTAGAAGCTGGCTCAGAATAATGAATTGCCTGCAAGTTAACTGTCCTGAGTTGGAGGCAGATTATTTCCTCCAGATTACATCCCAAATCTTACATCATAGACTTGACTCTGTCAGGTTGAGTAGGAGGTTGGCTCCATTTTATATAATTGTAATATGCATAAAGTATCCCGTGAATTTCATAAAATATCTTCAGGCAAAATTGACTTATTGGACCAGAAATGACCCCAGACATGATAGAGTAAACAACACATCCACCAGGAAATTATCCTACTTTTTAAAATGAAGTAGATGACTTCCCAGTGAATTTAGGTTTGCTTGATGGTGCATGTGAATAATGATGTTTCCCAAATAGTTATATGGACTTTTAAAATAGACATTTGGCCTAAAGTAGGATTTCATTTGATACAATTACATTGTTACATACATATCAAACTCATATTTTAACAAGAAAAATTTTATTTTCTCTTGTAAATTACTGTCATGGGGAGCATTTATATAAATACAATTGGTAAATGATGTTTAGGATGGTAAAATTGATATATTACAATTAAATAATTTTACCGGGGTTCCATGTGGGGAATAAGAATAATGAGATAACTACTTCTAGATAAGGGAAACCAATGCTAAGTAACTCATTGTTTCCTTGTGAAATATTTCCAGAGAAAATCTGAGGTAGTTATTAATTTAGTAGATTGTAATAGATGGATTAGGAGGTACAGGTGTCCCTCAGTATCAGTGGGGAATTGGTTCCAGGACCCCCCATGGTTACCAAAATCCAAGGATGTTCAAGTCCCTTATATAAAATGGCATATATAATATTTACATATAACCTACACACATCCTCCTACATACTTTAGATCATGTCTAGGTTACTTATAATTCCTAGTACAATGTAAATACTATGTAAATAGTTGTTATACTGTGTTGTTTTTTAATTTGATTATTTTTTATTGTTGTATTGTTATTTATGATCCACGTTTGGTTGAATCTGTGGATGCATAACCATTGGATAAAGAAGGCTGACTATGTGCTGTATTGGGTTAGGCACTGGGGAGAACCCTAAATAAATATGGTATAAGGTACTGCTCCAGAAGCTTACTGTCTTAGTTGGAAAAGTAGACACATGGGGGAAAGAATATAAAAGTTTTACACATAGTAAAAGTTACAGGGATTCTAAGAAGGTAGATTAATGTAGGGGGCTTGCTGGCTTCATTGAAGTTCATAAACAAGAAACAGAAGGGACTTTTGTCTTTAGAAGAAGGTGAGGGAAATGAAGGGGTTTGGGTGTGATGTACAACTTAAGTCAGTGGTTTTGCAAGGAGAATCGACATAGTGTAGAGGAAGAGGCTGGGATATGGGTGGGCAGCTAGAACTGAAATGGATTTTGTATCTTTCTAGAGTGGAGTAGATGGTTTGTGCCAAGGGGAAAAGTTTGGATGGAGAAGGGCAAGTGATGGAGAATAATGAAGTATAGGCTAAGATTTGGTTTTATCCTCTTGGAAGTTTCCACTTTGTATACCGTGTTCCTCGTTTGCATCTGAAGCCTCATCAGAAGAACCTTTAATGTCTGCATATCTACCAACAGTCTCTTCAAAGCAAAGTAGGCTTTTTCTAACATGCACCTCAATACTCTTCCAGCCTCTATTCCCCAGTTCCAAAGCCACTTCCACGTTTTTAGTTATTTGTTACAGCAGCACCCTATTTCTCAGTACCAAAACATGTATTAGTTTGCTAGGGCTGCCCTACAGAGTACCACAGAGTGGTTGGCTGAAACAGCAGGAGTTTATTTCCTCTCAGTTCTGGAGGCTGGAAGTCTAAAATCAGGCTGTCACTGGGGTTAGTTTCTACTGAGGCATCTCTCCTTGGCTTGTAGATGGCTGTTTCCTCCCTGTTTCTTCACATGTCTTCCCTCTGTGTGTTTGTGGCCTAATCTCTTTTTATGAGGACACCAGCCATATTGGATTAGGGCCTACCCCAGTGACTTCGTTTAATCTTAAAAGAGGCATCTTTAAAGACACCGACCCCATACACAGTTACATTCTGAGGTACATGGGATTAGGACTTCACATGAATTTTGGGGGAACACAGAGTTCCTGAAGAGACCTGGAATGTAAGGTGGCCAGACCCTGAAAAATGGGCTGGTTCAGGGAAAGGGAGGGAGGTCATGTAGGAGGCTGTTGTGGTAGTCTAAGCGTTATTGTGGTAATTTGATGTTTGGGAAGAATGGGAAACTGCTATTTGAGGAAAAAGGTATTTTATCTTTGGCCTGAGGCCACTTGTTTTCTTCCTCTCAGTGTTCACAGGGAGATTGTGCCTCTTACAACTCTTCCTTTGTGTGAGCAGAGCATCAGTTTTCTTTTAAAGTGTTTCATAAAAGCATTCTTCATTTTCTTAAAAATATTTCTTCTAATATGTCTTAAAAATAGTAAAACATTAAATTCAGTAAAGATGGCATGTTAGTGTTATAAATATCTCATGATGGTTTTTGAGTCTGATTAAAACAAAATGTATTCTTTACATCTGTCTAAAAACTGTATGTCCTATGTGTGTTATGTGGGTTAATACTTGGTATAATCTGTTTTCTCCAGAAATTTCTTGCCCTTTTTGAAAAAATACATGATTAATAAGGAAATTTCTGTCACATATAATAAAATAAAAACTTTTAAGGTGTTGCAGTTGTACTTGTTGAGTTAGAGAAAGGTCAAAGAAAACATTAGAAAACGTTCATCCAAATCTGGCCAGCTGAGTTTAAAAAAAAAGCAAAATGTGACAAAATCTTGCTTTATTTCTCTTTGTTTGCCAGTGGTGGTTAAATTTGTTTGGTTTACAGAATTCTTATCTTTATACTCCCTTTAGTTTTACTTATGTCTGTGAAAGCAACATTTACTGTTATTCTCTATCTTCAGATCTAAGATACTATAAATAAATACATGAGGGGGAAGTAAAAAAGGAAACACTTGTAAAAAAACAAAAACAAACATCAGCTACAAAAAACAATCTTAACAAAAACCTATGTAGTTTGGGTTGACAGTGTAATATTGGTAGTATGAATAAGTTATGGTATACTTTACCATTTACTCTATAAGATGATTAGTAACTTTTTTGATTTTTAAAAATTTATTTTTAATTGTGCATATTTGTAGGGTACAATGTGTTGTCTCAATATATGCATATATTTTACAGTGAAACAGGGTAGATAGCATATTCTCCACCTGAACATTTATCTATTTTTTTGTTTTTTTGTGGCGATTACAGTCAAGATTCTCTTTTCTAGCTTTTTAGAAATATACAGTACAATATAATTAGCTATAGTCAGGGTAGAGCACCAGAACATATCCTTCCTCCTATCTACCTGTAACTTTGTACCTGGGTAACTTTTTTTGATGACCAAAATGCACATTTTAAAAAATATGCTTTTTTTTTTTTTTTGTTTGTTTGTTTTTGTTTTTGTCTTTTGTCTTTTTCCATGTCCGGCAACAGATCGAGCACAAAGAAGTTAAAAAAAACTTGTCTGTAATTCTATCACCCAGATACCACCCTCATGGAAACCCCCCACATATTTTAGAAATGAGAATCCTTGAATTATTTTGAAATAACAAATAAATTAATAGAGCTACTGATAAATAGATTTCACCAATTGCTTTTTTTCTCAGTGAGGATTA